GCGCCCACGCTCCGCCCCGGACGGCTCCTCTGAGCTTGGAAATGACTCTGGGGAGGAGTCAGGCAGGTGTGCGCGTCCAGACGTGGGTGAAAACGCTCAGAGGGGGGCCCCCTGCCCATTTTAGGTGCTGAGGGGTCATTTCAAGGGATCGTTGTCCTCCCCCAGGCTCAGAGCCAAGAAGTCCTCGAGAGAGCAGCCTTCTCCTAAGAAAACGAAGCCATTCGGTAGAAATGACCTTTAAAAGTGAGACGGTTAGGTGACAGTCCGTTTGGGGACGAGGTACCTTTCACTCGAGGCGGAGTAAAATACCTGGGGGGCAGAACGGAAAGGGAGCACAGGCCGAGGAGGGCTCTTTTATTCGATAAAAAGATGAAAGAATTAAGGGTCTTAGGACAGCAGGGAAAGAGGGAAGTCACTCCACACGGGGAAGAAGTTTGTGAGGAGGGAACGGAGCCAATTCGGTCTTACAGATACCTTTGAAAAACTTGGAATTGTACTTCCAAATCAGCAGGCTATGTTAGGGGACACCCAGACTAGAAGAAACCCCCAAATAAAATGAACAGTGGGTAGAAAATTGTTAAAACGAATCATAAATGAAGCTAGAGGGTTTTTCCTTTTTGGCATGGTTAATGATTTTTATTATTTTTCTTTCCTAGATGCATGCAAGGACATTAGTATGCAAAATGAGCTGCCTTTAGTAGGCCAGCCTTTTGCTTTTAATTGCACATACCCTCCGATAACATCTGGGGAAGTCAATGTCACATGGTATAAAAATTCTAGAACCCCAATATCCAAAAACATACAATCTAGAATTCACCAGGACCAGACTTGGATTTTGTTTCTCCCTCTTGCATGGGGAGACTCAGGAATCTATCAGTGTGTTCTAAAGTAAGTCTCTTATTTAAAATAGAACTAATTTATAGATACACATATAAAATACAGATTCTTTCAGGATGATTCTTAATGAGCATAAAAAATTAAATGAGAAGAATAATGTTGTATAGTTTTATAATTGTTATAAGGCGATTTCCAGTGAACACATTTTTAAACAGAACAGATTTGTAAATCATTTTTGGAGCATCTTTTGCTAATTTTCCTACTGAAATGGTGTCTCGGGCCAGGCCAGCTCACAAAGAGCGTCCCAATATGATTGCTGCCATCTTTCTTGGAATGCCAAGAGTTTTTGTGACAGGTGACACATTCAGATAGGAGCATGCCTCCATAGAGCCCTTTTTCATAAGGAATCTGCTTAATGCAGAGTCAATATCGAGTATGTTTCAGCTCCTACTCGAGGCCCTGAAATGGGAAGCCATACAGAGAGTGACACAGGTCTGGTGGGAACTGTGGTCAGCTGGAAAGCCATGCCCCATCAGAGGCAGCTGGTCTGTTCAGCTGGAGTCCATTTTCTCATTTTTCAAGGGAATCTGGAAATTGGATTTTGTCATTTTGTGTGTGTGTGTGTGTGTGTGTGTGTGTGTGTGCAGCATTTTAATTTGTAAAGCTTTGTGGGGGCCTGAATAAAACACATCTGTAGACCAAATTTGGCCTGAGTGCCTAGATTTTATGATTCTCCCATCCTTACTTGCATAACCTTAACAGATTATTTGAGCTCTCTGAATCTTGGTTTTATTTGTAAAATGGAAACAATACCGGCCTTCTAGGGTTGAGGTGGAAATTGACTGTGATCGTGTTGATTAATGCTTTGATTCTGTGGTAACTGCCGGCCCCTTTCTGTGTCCCAGGATGGCCCATGTCCACTCTGGTTCATGCCGGGTTCCTCAATTCCATATACCCAGCAGATTCAATGTGCAAAGTTACATACCAAGTGGTACACAGCTCAAGTGGTTGCTAGCTTTGTCGGCCCGACTCCTTTCTGCTCTCATAGGTCAAGCTGCCAGGACTTGGGAAGGTCTGTGCTCTCGTTTCAGCCTAGGCTGTGAATTGCTAACTGGCCTTGAAGCTCATACTTCACATACGTTCATCTGGATGTCAGAGCTGGATTTAAAATATTTAAATCTAGGAGCTGTGAAATGAGGAAAAATAATCTCTCCTAGAAATCATACAAATATATTGTCTATCAAGGAAGAAAATGAACATTAATTCTCCCAGATTTTAAATATTCAGATAGAACACATATTTAGCAAACTGGATATTTTAACTTTGAAATAATTTCAAATTTAAATAAAGTTTGCAGAAATAGTATCAAGAACTGTCTTCTACACTTTATCTAGATTCCTTATTTTTAAGAAACTTTATTCACATTTACCTTATAATTTTCTCTCTCACCATTTGTTTATGTATATCACACATACACACACACTATATATATATATTTATATATATATAATTTATATATATATATTTATATATATAATTTATATATATATATATATATATATATATAAATTATCCAGGCATGGTAGCTGCGCCTGTAGTTTTGGTTACTTGGAAGGCTGAGGCAGAAGGATCGCCTTAGCCAGCTGGTCGACGCTGGGTTGGCCGTGAACGTGCCACTGCACTCCAGTCTGGGCGACAGAGTGAGACTGACTCAAAAAAAAAAAAAGTAATGCGTACTGAGGTGAGGCCTCGGCACGGTGAAGATGAGTGGCTGAGCCACAGCGCAGCAGGAGTCCCA